GAGGAAATATTTTGTCAAATTTATTAACGAAAACAAGAAATCTATGAAATATATCAGAATGAATTGAAAACCACAATCATCGCATTATTATTTTTTGTAATTATATTAACGTGATTATTATTGTAATACATATTTATGTTACATTAAAATAATTATTTTATTTATGTGAAACGCAATGTAAAAATATTTAATTTTAATTATATATATATATAACCAATTAAGAACTAGGAAAATCTAAATATGATATTTGTTTTGGAACAAATATTGATTTTAGATTTAAAATTTTTCTTGTAATTATTGCGACAAGGAATCAATATTGGTTGTACGCTTTCAAATAGTTTTATATTTTCAAAATTATTTAATTTTCTAAATCTATGTAACGAACATCGATATCTTCTGTTACTTGTTTGAAGTGTATTCTATTAAATTTTTAAAATTTCGAAAATCATTTCAATCAATTTTAGAGATACAGTCAACCCTCCTATAACGCGGTGAGTGCGTACCGCGTTATATGGAAACCGCGCTATAAGAAACTCGGATTTAACCGTACAAACCAGGCTAATTCGTAGCGTGTTCTATGGAAACCATCTACCGCGTTATATGGAGACCAATAAATACAAAGGACAAGATAAATTATTTTTATTGAATTGAATTGAAGAGTTCATATAAGGATTGATAAAAAAATGAAACAAGAACTAAACTAAAAGACTGTTTTTCAACAAAAACAATGAAGACTTTTGTAATATTATGTAATCTTTCAACACTCAACCTCGCTGTCAGATATGAATCGCCTAACTCGTCTTCTTTTAATGGGCAAAATGTCTTCATCACTTAGTTCATCTTCACATTGGTTTTCGATTGTAGCTTTTTTTTCTAACTCCAATAAAACCTCTTTATAGAGAGCTAAGCAATTTCTTAACTCTCTTTTAAACTTTGCGCTGCGCACGTTGAACGATCAGTTTGAATGAAATGAAGTTCTAATTCTTTAGCCAAATTTAGCCCTTTTTTCACATCTTGTAAATCGAGATTTGGCACCCATTCGTTTTCCTTATTTTCGTTTACCAATGCATTTGAGGTGGATACATCAATTAAATCCATCAGTTCTTCCTCATCTAAAGTTTCTTCCCCGAGTACTAGTTCTCTTACATCCTGATGGTTTACAGCAAATTATTCTCGCTTAAACGAGAAGCAATGTTTACTATTTCTGTAACTGGGAGTGAAATTGTAAAATCATCTTGTATTACTTGAACCATTGGAGGTAAAAGAGGTTTTCAACACGAATTAAGTGTTGATGGTTTAATTTCCGCGCAAGCCGATGACACGGTTCTAATACAATCTAAAATAGAAAATTTCATGCACACTTGAGTAAGGGTATAATAGGTAAAGTTATATTAAAATCTCTTACAATATCTAGTTACTAGAGTCTTTCATAGGCTGCCCGGAAGGAACTTAAGTTATGCTGTTGAACGGAAACAGCGCTGTAAGAGTACCGCGTTATAGGAGGGGTTGACTGTAAATCCAAATATAACTGAGATTCCTTGAAAAGAAATATTTTCAAAATAAAATATAAACATTTTTTGTTCAAACAATTGTGTTACTATAGGTTTGTTTATCAATTTCTAAAATAGAGTTTATTACAAAGTTCAAGATTTCAATGTCACGCTACAAACAATCAACGAATTTCCGCATGAAGAATCAAATTATTATATCATCGAGGTGACCACTAGAATTATTGGACCTACTAGTTCCATAGCTATGTTTAATCTGAACCTGGATAAACGCAAATTTAAATGAGGATTTAAGCTACCGGGGCGGAATAAATTCAAAATCCAACACTAAACAACACGGCCTGAAATTAAGCATCAATTAATCACATTGCCCTATTCGTATTCCCAACACTCCGGTATTTCATTAACGCCTACGCGGCTTCGACAAATGTTTAATATTTTTGATTTCGTATTTTGGAATCGTACGAAAAATTACATAATTGTTGCAAAACAAAGTTTGAAAACACTGCAACTATCATCTTCTAATTTCATGTTAAATATATTCGAAACACATATAAAGACTTCAAGAATCGTTTTTATTATAGAGAATTAAAAAAAATATATTAATATAATTACGAAGAGTATACCTACATACAAAGGGTTATTGATCGCAGTCTTTCCGCCCTAATATAATCAATTATCTTCAAATAAATACATCAAGTAAATTAATTATTAACATTTTTCATTGAGTCGTTCAGAAGTTATGAACTTTTTGTTTGTGCGCACATTTTTCGTACATTTCAAAAAATATTTCGAGAATCTCACTTTTTTCTTTGCGCGAAAATTCTTTAAGCTTAGAAGAATATTTCTTTTTATAAATATAAATTTTTTGGAAATTATCAAATCTAATTAGCCAATAACCAATATTTTAAAAGATATATTTATATTTTTCAAAATTCAACAAATTCTATTTTTTTTTTGCAGTAATTAAAAATATTTTCCTTTGTGCTTAACATGAACCTTTCTCACTCTAAGTACATCTAGATAATCAAAAGTTAACGATTAGAATAATCAAAGTAATAAAAAAGTAGAATCAGAACGTTGATATCACCAATAGTTTAAAAGATTTTTTTTTCTAAATTCAAATAATTCTATTTTTTTTAGGAGCAATTACAAATATTTTCTTTTGTGCTTAATATGAACCTCTCTTATTCTAAATACTTCTAGATATTCAAAAGTTATGAACTTATTTTTGAAATTATGAAATATGAACGTTTTCTTCTGAAGTAAACTTTATTTCTTTAAAATCAAACATCTTTAAGAACGTTTAGAATAATCAAAGTAATAAAAAAATAATAAAAATAATAACATATTTTCCTTGTGCTTAATATGAACCTACCTTATTCAAAATAGTTCTAGAAGTTATGAACTTAGTTTTGAAATATGAACGTTTTCTTCAATAGTAAACCATTCTTTAAAGTACTTAACAGATTTTGATGATTTTTTGTTTGGTAACTTAAAATAACGCAATAAAAATCTTTACCAAAAGTGATGGTTCAAAAGATATATTTTTGAAAATCTTTTAAGCGAGTAGATATTTTTTCTTTGCGAGAAAAAGTGCAGTTATGAAAGGATGTGTATTATTGCGTATCGTCGATGTTTAGTTATCCGTCGTGCAGTGATGCGAAGACTACAGGAGAAGCAGCAAATATGCACTATAAGAATAACGTAATTGCATATATCGGGCCTGCTTGCATATGTGCACTAGAACCCGTTGCGAGTCTTGCTGCATATTGGAATATTCCAATAATCACTGGAATGGGAGATCAAGTAAGTGTAATTCGAAACCAAATATTAAAATATACAACCCATCACGTTATTCCAGTCATTCTATCATTCAATTATTTTATTGTTTTCAAACCGCAATATCAAATGTATTCACTGAAAATATGTTCGTTGATAGACGTAACATTTGATTCACATATAATAATATTTGCTTTTTATTTATTGCAATACGGTTATTGTCGATATACAAATCAATAAATTTCGAGAAATTCCATCTTCAATAAAATATATGAAGAAAAAACGGAGTAAAAATAATAGGATTAATATAAAAATAAAAGGAAAATATTATTTTTTTCTTCTTGAATATGATTTCTGCATCTATTCTTTTTCGTACAACTGCGAGTGTCCGGCTAATGATTATCGTTTTGATCTTAGCCTCTTACCGAAAGAGAACTCTCTGTCACTTCCTCCTGTATAATGGACAGATTGCAGACATGGAACGATATGGCCGTGAGTAATTTCATTTCTTGCCGATCCAATATTTTATAGATGTGTGATTACAGCCGCACGGAATTATCAACAACAATAGTAAATTATATCCGACGTTGACCAGGCTCTCATACTGCGAACGTCACTTGAAATTAGTATTTACTTCTGTTGTAAAATATTTCGGTTGGAAACACATCGCTTTGGTTGTGGACAAAACTGATCTATTTTCTATAATGCTCGGTAAGTTCCCCAATAATATCTATATGTATGTTTAAAATTGAAAAGAAGTATTGTGGGTGAGTCTTCTCCAATTTCAATGTCTAACAAGTATAGAACAAGTATTTTTTTCATTCTTATATAACTTAGGTAGGAACGTTAATTAAATCCTTGGAAAAGATATTCGATCTTTTATGAAAAGTTTAAAAACTAAGAGAATAAATACTTATAGAAATTAATATGCACAGACTAATTAAAAAAATAACTTGGTAAGAAAAAAAAAACGCTGAACTTTGCTTCTATGTTTCCTTTATTAATGTTAGATAACTAATAAGAATTTATAAAACATCGAAGAGTGATTTTGGAATGAAAGGGATTTTAATGACAATGCAAATAGCTAATTATGCAATAGTTTTATAATATAACCAACGCTATAACAATCCTATTGACGAGGATGGAGCAATGTGTTGTGTGATTTATTTGCAGGGTAAAATATTATATTTACAGGCCTTCGTTTCTTATCCAGAGTCGTACATTCAATTAACGGGTGAAGTACATAACTTAATTTATATACAATAATTTTTTACCCTTCTATATTTGTGAGGGTACTTACTTGGTGATAAATTTACAACAAGAACGATTATTTCCAGTTTGGAATCCACGATTACGCAAAAAAGTTACTAGTTCGAGTCGTTTGTTTAACACTTTCAGTTGCATATATAGTGGGTAATCGGTTTACGAACAATTTGGCATGCGTACAAATAAATATACGAATACAAAAAACACATTATTTACTTATTAACTTCTTACTCGCGATGGCGTCTGACAAACTCCGTTAGTAATTAATTTATATAAATAAATAATTGATTAGATTACTGATACTTCTAAGCATGTTTATTTTATAAAAATGTTAGGTAACCGATCAACCACTGTATTTGCTACGGTCGAATCAGGTCGAAGAGTATGTTATTGACCAGTTTTTATAGGATATTTTTGAATCGTTTGAACACCATGATTTCCTCCGTTGCATTGTTGGAAAAGGAGAATTTGTTTTGCGGCACGTCAAGTAAAAATCCCAAGAACATTAAATGGACAGCGAAGTCCAATGCTCAAATATTGGGAGAAGTAAAAAGTTCTGAGCGTTCGAGCTTCTTCGTGAGACCAGCCATATGCAATTTTCTTGCCAATCTTCAGTTCCTGGGCAATGGAATAAGTGCTCGCATGTTTCAATTTCGACGATTGGCCTACCAGAATGAGACACGCTCTTCGACGTCCATATTACCAGAACGGAAGCGTTGCAACCAACGCTTAGCTACTGCAAATGTTTGGCCGCCTGCTCCGCTTTTCCCCTTGCTCGTAGTGTACAGTACAGTACAGAAGAATGTATCAAATTTTCTCTCTTTTTACCTCCATTTTGGAACGCTCTAACACACAACTAGATTCACTAAACACAAAACTGTCAAAGAACTTTTTTAATGCGTTATGTCGCAGTATAAAATGGCAAGAACGCTCAGAACTTTTTACTTCAACTATTATTTTTACTTATATTTTTAAATCTCTCGCGGCACACAACTGTGCCCCTATTGCAAGATGTCGATGGTGTTTTTGTTGGCGATGAAGATGACGATGCGGGGGAGAGCAGCTGCAAGGGTGCAATCTGTGCGCCACGTTCTCCCACGGACCTGTTGGTCTTTTGGCTTCGCGGTGCGTGTCTCGATAATTCCCGCTGAATGGTTTGAATTAGCTGGGATTTATTTACTGTAGTGGAGTTTTTTACAATATATAAAGTAATATTTTGTATACTGCTTATAGTTTTTAGATATTATTAATATTTAATACGAACTTTTACCGCAATATTAATAGTGGAATTTTATCTAATTGGAACATAGTTGTAAATTAGTAAATTTATTAATACCATAACCATATTAGGTTATTAATTGCACATTATAAATTACGACGAACACAAATATTCATCTATGTACTTATTATCGCCGCATTTAGGGAAAAATCTGGAGTATGAGTTGAAGCGTCAAGGTCTGCAGGTCTTCGTCATTGAATTAAAGGGAAATGATGAAGAGATGTACGATAAGTATCTCAAAGATGCCAGCAGATATGCAAGAGGTAATGTGAATCTTGTTACTTGCTAGGGATCGGCAACCTGCGGTTCATTGAATTAATAATTAAGACTATTTTCGTTATTTTATCTAAAAATCTGTTTGTTTTATCAGTCAACCCGCGGACGGTTGCTTTATTAATAGGTATTAGTAAGAAGTTTGCCGATCCCTATTCTAGGCCATATAACGCAGTGGTCTCAAACTAGCGTGGTGTCATAGCAATTACATTTAAATTTGTTGTAAATACGGTGCTTATAGCGATTGATATTGAAAGAAAAAGAAATAGAACAAATAGGTTGGGGTACTTTTTTTTACATACGTTGACTATAGATTCACTCTCATTTTGTTAAAAAAAATAATCCCAACAGCTTCATTTAGATCAGAGGTTCCCAAACTTTTTTGTGTCGTAGACCCCTTGTCATTTTTTTCGGTTTTAGGTAGACCCCCTACTTACCTGATATTGATTTTTTGTAAATTTAGTATTTATATTGGGACATCTTTATAATTATTAAGATCTTAGCTCTGAAACTGCGTGTGCTTGTAACAAGATGATACTGGTATATCATTATATCAACTTACACAATTTTATAAACATATATAATATTTTTTTTACTTCATAGGTACTTTTATAAATAATGTATATGTCTTTATATTATAAGATAGTATGGACCCCCAAATTTTTTTTTCGCTGACGTAGACCCCTGGGGGTCGATATAGACCACTTTGGGAATCACTGATTTAGATCGTGCATGTAATTTGAGTTTGAGACTACTGAAATAACGTACTTGTTAATATTTTCGATTCTATTTATACTATCTTTTAAGTTATATATTATGAATCAACAAAACAAATATAGATTTTAGTATATTTCTATAATAGAAAAATGTAATGAATTTGTTTTCATGAAATCATTTGTTTGTTTCTTCATAGTTTATTACATTAGAATATTATTTTTATTTGATTTTTTTAAGGACTAAAAACAACTTGGAAAGACTTAATTTTTGTATAGATTTTCTGCTTTTATTTACATTTAAAACTTTAAATAACCGTGTATGAAAAGCATTGATTCCTCTGATCTAGTGATATATAAGTTTAAAAGATGTGATTCATTTTTTTTTTCTTTTGCTATGAGAATAGACATGAAATTAATGAATGAATAAATTTAATTAATGAACACTCGAAATAGCAATGGTTTCAAATTTTAGTGAGTTTCTCGTAAACTCATAGATTGGATGGATTCAAAAGTTACCTGTGAAATATGGATGTTTGGGAAATGTAGCGAGAATTCATACATTGTTGTAGTTTCGTGCGTTTGGCTGTAATTCGCGTTGAAATTTAAACAATGAAAAATTAACGCTCGAAACAGCAGTGTTTTCACATGTTACTGATTTAGTCCGGTATTTACACATTGCTGTGGTTTCATCCGTTTGACTGTAATTCGCAGTGCTTTCACATTTTAGTGATTTTCTCGGAAAATATAATACAATGATGCAAAGAGACAAACGTATTGTCTTGTCCCAGGGACGGAATTCTGGACACAGTGGAATATTCTCTGGTGTTGTCGTTGTGTAGTCTCAGTTGTAGGAATTAAATATTTCAATTGGTTTTACATAACTTTATTCGTTACTTGGTCTTCTACTGACACTACGCTCGTCTTAGGTTTTTTTTTATGAGACTGTATTAGTCTTTAAAGGTTTTAATGACACTATATCAGTCTTTGAAGGTTTTACTGAGACTCATTCCAAATACTTATTATACTTACAATGTTAATTCTCATTAATACGGGGTGGGAGCTGTGATCGGGAGTAGGGTTTATATATATTGATGATTATTTGTTATAAGACCGGGATAAAATCCTATGCATTTGTTTGTATGAAAAAGATGCTCGATTACGATTGTACGTGTATCAAGCATTATGTGTTTATAATAATGACTTGAATTCGGAGTAAAGGTATAGGAGTATCGATGGGAATGTTTACGCTTGGTCCCCTTTGTTTATATTAAAGTGTATCGAATCGGGATCACGGTGGAGGTTCTATTATGCTGATGTATATGTTTATATAATAATACGACTAAGAGATGTCGTAGATGTCTCTAGTTTGTTAATACACTATATTAATATTAACAATTGTAATAATAATGGTTGGACACAACAGTATATCAAATTAATGAATAATAATACTTATTCATTAAAAAAATAAATATAATAGTTATATAGTTAAATATAATATAAAATAGTTAAAGGAAGAACCCATTTTACTGCTACACAGTTTATTTCAATTTTTTTACACTGATTGATCTTAGTATATAAGACGTGTGTACAGTAGATACTTTTATGTATTGGTCAGAAAAATAATCAAACTAACGTATATATAAGAACTTCCCCCTGTATCCCGTGTATATGATACTAGGAAATTGGAGGCTGAATGTCAGATATTTTACTAAATGGGAAAATACAATTATTCCTGTATAGGGATACAATATCGAACACGCGTCTATAAACTAACTTGTAAGTGCATAAGATAATACAATTTCAATGGCAGCATGGAATATTAACTTACTAGTAAGTGGGTGCAGAAAATCTATTTAAAATGTTAGAAAGCCTACCAAGGATTTTACATTGATTTTTATTACTTTAGTTTTTTTTATTTTATATTTGTCATATTTACTATTTCTTTCTTCGCTTACTTTCATTTAAGGTTTACCTATTCATAATTTCACTTTTTTTTTAATCTCATGACGCTAGCACAATATGTAAGTAAAACTCTCATATTCATATTCTCATATCAATTTTTTTAACGATTTATAGGTAGCCCATCCACTTCTGCGATATATTCATCATTTTATAAAAATCTGATTTTATAATTAATATGTATAGTATTTTAAAGTGTTCTATTGTAGCTTCGAGTTGCTGTCAAAGAAGGACGGTGAATAAAATAATGTCTTCGCTATGCGTCCCACTTTAATAATTATTGTGGATTATAATTATGGAATATTTAATAATTTAATAGCATATTTTTTCTTACAGTACAACTTTTTATACAGTTAATACAATGGTTTTTATTGTCTCTAGTTATGATATTGAGTATACGCGCATCTCTTGTAAGGAAGTTCATGCTGGCCGCCCACGGTTTAGGCATGACTAAAGGAGATTGGGTGTTCATGGACTTGGAGATGTATAAAGTAACATTTGCAAATGATTACCATGATGACAGTTGCTTATAGTACGATTTTTATTAGGGGAGTTATTGGGTAGACTCGATTTGGTCGGTTGGGGACAAGTACGACACTATTGCAAAAGAAGCATACGAGGCTCTCATCAGAGTGAGTTTACTTCAGCCCACCAGCGATAGATTTCAGGATTTTGCGAATAAGGTTAAAGAAAGAGCCCAGACTGATTACAATTACATTATGAACAGCAGAGAAGATGTAAATTAAAAGCGTAACAAACATTAGCAGTATTCTTACTATTTATGTGTTTGTAGGTGGATTTCGCGATTGGCGCATTTTATGACGGTGTTTACTTGCTTGGTATGGCTTTGAACGAGACGCTTTCTATGGGTGGAAACATCAGAGACGGTCTGGCCATAACCAAATTGATGTGGGGTCGTGATTTTCACGGTACAAATTCAATGTTTTTTTTAACAATACATTCAAAAACATGTGTGATTTAAAAATATACTTTATTTTATTTAGGAATTAGCGGTTACGTCGCGTTCGACCACAACGGAGATAGAGTTGCGGATTACTCCATACAGGTTCTGCACCCAAAGACTGGGAAATTTTACGTAGTCGCTCATTACTACGATTTGCACAAAGAGTATTTGCCGGTGCCCGAGCAGAAGATCTATTGGCCTGGAGGACGGGAAGACCCTCCTCTGGATATTCCCGAACCTGGATTTTTAGACGACCATCCTAAAAGAATGAACTATGGTAAGTACATTAATCAAAATACAGATTAAATTACTTCATATTCTATTTTAAATATTAAATTATTTTCGATTAATTTCAACTGCAGTTGCTTTCTTACAGTTGCTCATTACTTTTACTCTTTATGTCTCTGCCGCACATCAAAAAAAGATATAATACTTATTATATATGGAATTGTCGCTTTAGGATTGATCTTAGCTCTCATAGGTTGGGGTTGCTTTAAGTAAGTAGTTCTACAATTGTTTAACTAGTCATAATTAAAACTTTTTTCTTATTACATAGCATTAAAAGACATAAATTCACAATAACATCGTTCAATCACAATGTAATATTGGAAAGTATCGTAATAATTTGTTATATAATAGCTATCGTATTTATATCTTTGGTGGTACTTCGATTATATAAATGCATTTTCGTACTATAATCGTAATGAATCATTTGAGTTTATATATATATTTATTATATATTCAAATAATTATAATAAAAAATGTTTACAATTTTTCTACATAAATCAAGGTAATGCAATTTATGTTAGGTGTACACGACAAGTACGTACGGATCAAAACATCATGCAGTGGCGCGTACGACCCGATGAGATGATGTTTGAGTTAGGGATACTATACGACTACGAACCAGAATTTCCAAGCTTACCTGAAGTAACGTGATGCGTAAAAAATAAATAAGTTTAATTATAACATTTACTTTTGCTAGTCGTTGGATGTATCCAGCAGCAGACCTTCATTCATCAACTCGCTGCAGTCGACACCTATAGGAATGTACAAAGGCACTCGCGTATTCATTAAGAAAATCGTCAAGAAAAACATGGACATTAACAAGAAAGTTCTCAGCGAAATCAAGCAAGTACGTAATAGAATATGTGCAAAATACTTGTCCATCAATATATTAAATTTCTTCATGTTATTTCTTCAATTATTTATGTGCCGTTTGTTTTCTTCATCGTTTTATTAAGGTCATAAATATTGGACACGAGAATACCATTCGATTCTTAGGTGCGTGTATCGAGAATCCGGGAATACTGATCATCACCGAATACTGTCCCAGAGGTAGTTTGCGTGATGTTCTTGATAACAATGAAATCAACCTGAACTGGAAAAACAAGTTGTCGCTGATCGAGAATATTGCAAAAGTGAGCAAGAAAAACCATTATATAACCATTTGACCTATTGAACAACTATTTCTTTCAAGGGGATGCAATACCTGCACAACAGCGAGGTGTCCGTTCATGGAAAACTGAATTCCCACAATTGCTTAATCGATGGCGACTTTGTATTGAAGATCTGCGATTTCGGTCTCACCACTCTAGTGATACCAGACGATATCTCTGAGGATATAAATCACTATCATAGTAAATCCATTCATACATTTTATTCTGCCTTTTACATTTAATTTACACCATTTAGTTGCTCTTTTAGTTGCATATTCAATTCACATTACATAGCACCAGAGATACAGTTAGCCATTTGATAAGAAAAATAATTATAATGTGTAATGAAAGCGTTAATAAGCGTTGTCTTGTTTAACGTGTAAATAAGTTGTTGGAGCTCATACATTTGAGTGGTTTCCTGCGATAATTTTCCTCCTGTTTTTAAAACTAATTTTATTTAATTACTGAAAACATACGTGTTTCAAACGTTAATTATGCTTACATAAATATAAGTATTAATTACAATTTTAAAAATTTAACTTATGATGATTCCAGAACTTTTATGGGTTGCTCCTGAACTACTTCCACTAACCGTCGTACCAGGAATTCCGGCAACGCAAAAAGGCGACGTCTACAGTTTCGCTATAATCCTTGAGGAGATTATTTTGAGAGCCGGTCCTTTTTTTGTCACATTGCAGCATGAGCAGATATGTATTTACGGTATAGTCATATAGAATGATTCTGGAATATCTTAATTTGTAATACTACTTTTTTTCCAAAGATATTTTAAAACGTGTGGCTGACAGGGAAATTCCTCCATTCAGACCGGTCGTGGATGAGACCAACTGTCATGAGGATTTGATTCTTCTCATGAAAACATGCTGGGAGGACAACCCAGTTTGTAGGCCCCCATTCAACGTGATCTGTCGGGCAGTCCAAAACATCGGGCCAGAGCATTATTAAACTCGTACTGGCTGACTTCGACGCAGAATCTTTGTCTCCAACTCACAGGCAACTTTTACCCTTTGGTAGTTAAGCTTAATTAATATGTGTCAACAATTATATTACCTGTCCTGAAAATAATTTGTCCCGTAATAAAATTATATATGGAGAATTATTTCTAATGAAAATATATATTATACATTTAAGTGTTCTAACTTCATTGGGCCCTGGCATATTTAACTGTGTGAGCCCCATGTACACTGTTGCAATGAGTAATTCCTTCAAAGGTTTTTAGGATCTATCCTCTTGGATTCAACACTCTCCATTCAAAAAATAATTTTAAAAAAAATATGTACGGTTGTCCTTTTTACATTCCTTTGAAGGGTTTTTAGGATTTACTTTGTCTCCTCTTGTATCAACACTGTTCATTCAAAAGTAATTAGATAAAAAAAATTGGGGGGCTCATCTACAGTTGCCGTTTTTGCCCAGTGGTTAACGCGTTTGTGGTACAACTATATATATGTACCACTAGTAGTATCAATTAGATGTATTTCTTAAATTTATAAGCAATTTAGAAGAAGTAAATATAAAATAATTAATTTTCTCAATTCCAATTTATTATACTTACAAATGATTTCATTCAATAGTACTATTTAAATTATGATTCACCAATTTATAAACCACAATCTTGAAATTATTTCTTTTATTGTCTCAATTTATGTAGTTTACTTTTGTATTTATGTTTCTGATTATTTTTATATGTATTTCCAATATTTGTCCAATACTTAAATAATATATGAAGAAGTTGTAATAAGTGGCACGTTTTGAATTTAAATTTTCCATTCAAAAATAAAATTGGTTTGGAATATGATAACGTGTCACTATATATCTGAATTTAAAATAAAATGTACTGTTTGAAAATTATAATTATAAGTAAACTTCTATGTAGGCATTCTCAGTTAATAAATGCAATAGATACCTGAAAATTGTATACTTTTTCTTTTCATATTTTCCATATTAATTACAAATGAAAAGATACAAACAACAAACATATATATCTTTTTTATTTGATTGATTAACAAAGTTCAAGTTTTCAGTTCAATATATAAATGGGTCGGTAAACCATCTTTTCATTAAATTTATCATATAATTTATTACTGCGTATATCTAATATTTGTTTAAAAAAAGATATAATTTTAAAAATCACAAATCTTAAATATTTATTAATGAAAGATACTTCTTACAATGTACAAAATCAACTACTCACTCACTATATTATGTTTATCCAACAATTTTTATTATTTTTGAATGTAACATACATTATGTAAGATGAGGATTTATATTTTCATTACCTGATAGCTAACTTATGGCATGGATAGCTGAGAATAAGAATTGATAACATAATTATCTGTATATGATCGAAATGTAAAGAATTACTGTTCTGTTTTGATTCCTCCACTCTATAATAGAGTGGAGGTGTGCACTTAGCTCACACCTCACAGTGTATGTAGCCAGTCAATGTCTAGTACAAACTAAAAGAGTATATAAACAAGCAAAAAATAAAAATATAACAATAAAAAGATGAATAGACTATTAAAGACAGAATCACCCTGCTAATGTATAAATATACAGTAAATTTATAAATAATAAAAAATAACAAAAAATAATTAAACATTTATACAAACTCTTCACGAGCAGGGACCTATCAGCTCTTATCACAGTGTGGGAAGGCCTCGGATCGGTAAATAAAAAGTATTAGAACAAATTAATAAGGGGTAACAAAGACAACAGAATAAATACATATATAATAAATATGCAAACAACACATCCAGAGTTTTTGATAAAATTTAAAATCAGTCTATATATCTTGATATCCTTCATCCTTAACAAGACGTCTATTGATGTTGGAAGGTAAACTTTCTGAGTAATTAGTCCACTTATGAGCCCTTTTGTAGCAGCACTGTTGTTTTCACTTTCAAAAAAAACGTGATTAGTGGTGGATATCATCCCACAGTCACAGTGCGGTGAATCCACCAAATTCATCCTAAAAAGATGAGCTGCAGATCTGTTGTGGTCCGTTCGTAATCTGCACAGAGCTGATATGTCAGTAGACTTGAACTCTTGAAAGAATTATAATTTTCTAAATTTAAATTATTTTATTAGTACTTGTGGCGCATCGGAATGAGCTGCCGATGTACTAAAGATTCGATGACAGCGCCACCTCAGTGCCGTAAAATTCATATGACTTTTTTTTCTCTATACGTTGTCCGGTTGGAAAGTAATTCTTGATATCTAACAATTATGTTTGACCTTGGCGGTCATGAATTGCATAAGCGTTTATCTCCAATGTTTATAATGCGGCGGATGCATATAAATTTTAAATTTTATCGTTTGTTTGGTTGCATATCCCATGTGAATTTTTCAAAATAATCGATTGATGATCAACCAATTTAATGCAATCGGCGGCGAAGTTTTGGATTCCATTCGACAGTTTTTCGGTTACCATCACCATCCACCTAAATTTTGGTTCACCGACTTCTGCAATTAATCTCCGCACTTCTACAATTCACCCAAAACGCCCAAGAGTTTCGCGTTGCCAGTGACAACAGTCTTATAACTCGAAATGAACTACTAAAGATTCCGTAACTGCGCTACTGCTGTGGCCATACGACATTTTTATGTATGACTTGGTCCCCCTGATAAGACTTAGAAATCAAGTGGTACCTCTAATAGAGCTGTCTTTTAACTGAACCGTAACTGTAATCGGAATGAAAAACCGAAACCGAAATTTTAATTACGGTTCATTATGGTCATATATGGTCATTCGAAAAAAAAAAAAATTTCGACATTGCATTGGTCGGTCTACTATCAATAGACTATATAAACAAACAATGTATAAGAGACATCGATGAAGTCTTTTTGAATTCTTTTTTCAAATAAATAAATACATAATAAACAAAACTCAAAATAAATTTATTTAAGAACTATTTATTACTTTTTTCATTACAATTATCATAGGACCAATAAAGATTCCAGATTGTAATTCAATTATAATTTTCGTCATCTTATTTCAGTTCAGTTTCAAAGAACATATACCTATTAATATAACATAGATATTAATAAAACATATAGGTCAATAGAATGTTTCATATAGTTTAATAGTTAGTTTTTGTAGCGCCTCGAAAAGAGCCGATAAACTAATGACGAATTCTATGACTGATGAAATAACAAATTAGTATTTTATACAAGAGACATCTATTAGACATTCTGAGAACTATATATTAGAGTGATTTGACACATCTTCTCAACAAGTCCGCGCTTGAGAAAGTTACGTTACGTTCGAAATTGCGATCTATTGAGTTCTGATGATTACGTATTGAAGTTCGATCAAGTTTGAGTTCATGAAGTGCGCATGCGTAGAAGTGAATCCGTGAATATTTTTAGATTTTTCACACAGATGGCACTAGAGTGGATCTGAAAATACCCATATCACCAAATTGTTTTTATGTTATTTAAAAAAAAAACACTAACAGAAACTTGACCTAGACCACTGGATATGAAAATACCCATATACAAAATTGTTTGTATGTATTTTTAAA